AATTCACTGGAGGTTGCACCAAGACTTAATTTATTTTTGCTAATCAATTTATCAAACAAAGCAGATATATTGATGTTCAGCTTCTGATATGCAAGGGAGGAAGAGATACTGAGCTTGTGAAGCCCTTTTCATTTTGTAGGCCAAATGTTACAGTTACACTATCACAATTCTGCCCTGACAACAGAATAGAATGGCTTTTGAGAAAGGTGTTAAACAGAAACATTGATCCTGAAGAAAAATTTGATGAAAAATGCAAATTTTGGGGGGAAGTAACAGTTAAGGACACAATTCTTAAAAAAAAAAATGAAGAGCAGTTATTTGTTGTGACAAGTTTATCCTAGAAAATCCTCTAAGAGATACAAATGAATATATAGATTTCTACCAGACATATGTTATTACCTTAAAAAATAAAGTAGAATGTACTTTCATTGAATGACATGCTAAAAAATTATACAACTTTTACGAAAATATCGTAGACTGAAGAAACTGAAAAAATAGGGATTAGTTGCAATAGGAATCAATTATATTGACTTTCCTAAAAGTTAATATTCTGAGCTAAAAATTGATAACCTTTTCTTATTCTGAGGGTGTTTTATGTGTTTTGACATGTCTTTATACAGTAAAACATGCTTATAGCAAACACGCTTATAATAAATGGACCTTTACAGCAAATCAATTTTCATTCTCATCAACTTTAAAATATATTTTAAACTTAATGGATAAAACAAATTATGCTTGTAAAGAAGCACAACTGTTTGTCCCTGGCACTTTGCTATAAGCATTTTTTACTGTACACAACTTAATCTTAAACATTAAAGTTCATTCGTCTGTCAGTCTTTAAGTCTGTCTAGCTGTAGTCTGTCAGTCTGTCTGTCTGTCACAAAAACTTTAACCTTGGTCATAACTTTTGAATGAGAAGAGATAGGACTTTCATATTTCACAGGTGCATTACCTGTGACAAGACCTTTTCAAATATACTATGATTTTTTGCCCCGTGACCTTGACCTTGAAGTTTGACCTACTTTTCAAAAACTTTAACCTTGGTCATAACTTTTGAATGAGAAGAGATAGGGCTTTCATATTACACATGTGTATTACCTGTGACAATACCTTTCTAAATACACTATGATTTTTTGACCCCATGTCCTTGACCTTGAAGTTTGAACTACTTTTCAAAAATGTTATCTTTCCTTATAACTTTTGATAGAGAAGAGATAGGGCTTTCAAATTTGACATGTGCATTGCCTGTAACAAGTTTTCGAGCATGCTATATTTTTTTACCCATTGACCTTGACCATCATGTTTGACCTAATTTTCAAAAAAATTAATTTGGTGATTACTTTTGCATGACATATGATAGGGCGTTCATATTTGACACAATATACCATAAATAATGGCATCCCACTCACTAAAACACCGAAAGCGGGGGACCACAATTCTTTGAATTTGCTTGTTGTAATAGATTTTCAAGGTAACCGTATTCCTATGTAAATTTAATGTTTAAAAAATGCTTAAAATTACTAGTTGTGGATCAAAGGACTGAAAGTTCTTTTAGTATATACATCTATCAATCAATATGCATCAATTTGCATATTTATCAGTGTATTTGTCATAATAAATGTTCAGAATAACTTGCATTCAATGAAATTTGTACTTAATGCAACGTAAACATGAATTTTAAGATATCCATCTCTGCCCACCCCTTTCAAAAAGTCCACCCCTGCATTTTTTTCTTTATTTTGGGAATGGAGATACAAAAAATTATGGGGGGAAATTAAAAAAAAAAAAAAAAGAAAGTTCGAGGCCTAAATAGACTGATAAGAATATGCTTATTTTTGTTTATATTATCTCAGGCATAAGTGTACTCTGATATTAATAATATGTTTTCTGTACATGTTCCAGTTAGTACATGTTTTATTACAATATTCTGTGTATAAAATTGTGATAAATTTTTGTGCCTTTCTTCTTCACATTCAAACTGCTTTTGCCAAGATTGATTTTTTTCAAGTCCAATATTAGTTTCTGGATGTAGTAGCGGCTAATTAGATCAACTATAGTTTCTAGAAGAAAATTGGCAGGAAAAAAATGTGATCTTATTTCTCTGTCACCAGGTTTATGAGTTTAATCTGTAATCTTATTTGACCAGCAAATTTATCTTTTTTCTTCCCATAGACAGAATGTTGTGATCAATGTCATGCTGAGACTCATCTGTGCAGGACCAGTACCCCTTAATGAGATTTAGCCATATCTTTTATCCAATAAGAAACAGTTTCACAGGAGTGGGAATTACAGCCCATGGGAGTTTGTCAGAGATATATCATTTTCATCACTTGGACTTATGCCATCTTTATTTCCTTTTTATCAGACCTTGATATAATCCCAAGTTTAATTCATTATTCACAGAAATGTCAGGATTGATGGACAGAGTTGAAATTGGCTGCAGTATTCTTTTTCTTACTTTCAATTTATAACTTTTTCTGGCCCGCCATGAATATGTCCGGGGCATGTAGTGTTTGTCATGTCCGTCTTCCGTTCTTCTATCCTTCTGTCACACTTTAAGTTTTAAGTTTCTTTGAAACTAATTTTACTTTCAAAAAAACTACTCAAGATATTTTTAATCAAATATAATATGCTGATACATATTGGTGAGAGCTATTCAACTGCATCACCATTTTTTGACCTTGATCTTTAATTCCTTTGATCTTGATATTACTTTTCTTAAGTTTATGTTTAGCTCAAATTCAAAGAAACTGTTCAAGTTATTTTTATCAAACCTTAAATCATATTGATGAAAGCTATTCAACTGCATCAACATCTTTTGACCTTGACCTTTTCTTTGACCTTGACCTCACTTTCCTAAAATGGTATCGAGCAAAGAAACTATTTAAGATATTTTAATCAAATATAATATGCTGATAGATATTGGTGAGAGCTATTCAACTGCATCAACATTTTTGACCTTGACCTTTTTCTTTGACCTTGACTTCAAATTTGTATTTAGCATAATTTTACAGAAACAAGTCAAGATTTTTTTCACAAACTTCATTTGCTGATTGTTCTATAATCATTTTTTTATATCAAGAGACTCAAGGTTTACTATGTATCTAGTGACAATTAAGAAATTAAGTAATGAGAGTTTGTTTGAGAAAAAAACTGGTAACCAACTCGCACAAGATATAGAACTTGTTTCTCCCTTTACATTTCAAACTCTCCGAACATTATCACTCCGCAGTTCACATGCATATTTTGTAGCTACTGGTAGTAGAATATGATGTCATAGTACCAGGCATATTATGACATCACAGTAACTAATCAAATAATTGCTTGAATTTCTAACAGAGTAATTTAAAGAAAGCTAAAAAGAAACTCTGTTTGGGAGTGAAGAAACAAATTTAAAGAAATTCCATGTAAATTATTTTGCATCTGGTCAAATATAGAACAGATCTAAGAAGATTTTAACTTCAATAATATTACATATTGCTTATGCTGAAATAATCTTGCTTGTTATTTTCCCTCACTGTAGGGAAGTGTGTTAATTGATACTTTAGATTACAGTAATAATTTAAAATTCATCAGGATAATAAATATACATCAAGTCTAAAAGGTAGAGCTACAGTTTCAGTGGAGACCTCTGTTCAGTAGTCTCCTTGTTTTAAACTCTTTCAGAACAATCAGTTGTTTTTATCTTTTAGTAATTTTTTTCCAAACAATTTCAAAAATTATTTTCATGAAATTTTACACAAGTTTAAAGGGTTACATCATAGACAAAGTATATGCAAAATAAATGAATATTCATAATATGAATTATAACTTCTATCAAAAAAATTTTTAGCTAAGAAATAAAATTCATAGGTAATCCGAAATAGTCACAAAATCAAGGAGAAAAAAGGAAAAGAAATTGCACTGTTTGACGTGAATTTTTTTTTTTTTTTTTTTGGTTGATTTAATTTGAGAATAATATAAAATGCAAATTTGATTTTAAATAATTATCTTACCTATTGAGTGTTAATTCATTCAATACAAAGCCCTAGAATCAGTGGAAGATCAGTCAGCTAGACTGTTACTGTAGAAGTGAAGAGGTTACTGAATGAAGACCAATATTTCGGCACTAGAAGGTCCAGATTATTCTTCAGAACATCATGTAACAAAAGCTGATTTGATTACTAACAAGCCTCTCAATAGCAAGATACAGCCTTTAATGTAATACTGACCGATTACTTATCTCAGTAAGAAATGGCCACTGTTGAAGCTCTCTACATTGAAAAGTAACGCTGGTCGCTTCGTCAAAGCTCTCTATACATTAAATCTTGATGACACTAAAACACTGGGGGAATGTCTCAGGTTCGTAAGCCTGCATCTTAACGTGCAGGCTTTTTATTACAAACAAAATAAACCACTAATGGATCCATTGTCATATTTTCTACAAGAGAATTTTACGACTTTTTTTTATGTTGCATTTGTTTATACAGATGAAGGAGTGTTTTGTTTGAGAAAAGGTGTGTGCTTGATATTCTGGATCTCCTCATAACAAGATAATATATTGAGATCTACTTCATTGTCTTCAAGATCAATAAATGAACAGAGCAGGTTTCTTAAGTTATTTGATTGTCCTTCAACAAGTAATTTCCACACAGAAAATATAGATTTGTTCTTGCTTTTGGCCTTGGAAAACTTGAGTCCCAGAGAATAATTCATTACAATATGGGTGGATTAGTAAAGTACCTTTTAACACTTAGTTGAATACACTTTTATAATGGCCTCATAAAATTGCTGATTCATAATGTTCTTGATATTGGCATTTCTAAAATATGAACATCCAGAGGACAATGACATTGGAAGTTTATTAACAGAGGAATATCATTGGGAATAAGAATTAATAAATGGATTCTATGTATCGTGTATCATATTTGTTTCATGGCCATTGCAAACTGACATTTTCAATAAAAAGCATTTTCGTGACATATAAGACATCTCATTTTAATTGATTTTTTTTATTTCAGTGATTCTTCCTCGCTTGGCTTTTGTGGCACTCAATAACAACCATCAGCAGGATGACAGGAAGCGAACAGAGGTGGCACTGCAGCTGTTTGAAGCCTACAGTGCTCTTTCATGTTGCTGTATCCTCTTTATTGCAACTTCTTATAGTCTGTCTTACATGAGCACTTCCACAACATTTTAAATGATATCAAATAAATTGACTTGTTTTCAAAGAAAATATCATAAACTTTAAAGTTTCATCTTTTTTCAATCCAGTTATAGCCAAATTGGATACATACAACTTGAAACAAACATGTATGACACAATTTTTCAAAGTCTAAGGAAACCACATGATACAATTTTTCAAAGTCTACAGAAATTTATAAGCTGTCAAGTTTAGGTGGGAGTTGTCGTTATTACCAGAGATTATCTGATCCATTTCTGAAATAGCAGCCATTTTCATAATGTTGAATCCCCGTAAACTTTGAATTTGCTGCCATGTCAATATGCTAGTGGAATTTGAGGGTTCCTAAAAATGCAGAAAGTTTGGGAAATAATGATCTATTGATCAAACATACATGTAGTTTGAAAGCCCAGGTATTTATGTAATTTGAGTATAAAATGCAAAAAGTGATGTCATTGGTAGCATGGGACAGACTACATGTATACATAATTTTTAAAACAAAATATATAAGCTTCTTATTAGAAGCAACAGTTGATTAACATAAATTATTCATTTACTTTAAGGTTCATTTTTCAATCCTAGAACTTTATTTTTGGCCTTGACATTTAGTCATCAATGATCAGTTGGTTCAGGAAGCAATGTTGCCTGGGTTACGGTGCTTGAAACATGATATGGGTGCTGTGGCACCTGAAAGGGAAGAAGTGGTGACTTCCATCATAAAAGACTATGAAACCAAAGTAGAAGGGCTTAGGTAAGGAAGGTTATAGGGTGAGTTAACCATGCATCGGACACATACCTTGCTTTGCACAACTCTAAGCAATAAACTTTCATTGAACCTGAGTCTCCCCGTGTTTTAACTTGTTTCTATCTTAAAGGTGAAGATTTAAACTTTTTAATAATGCCGATTTTTATTTTCATGTTGTGATAAAAATACCACAAAAATGGCCTTGAAATTATGTCATATTTTTGCATCATCAAAGGGGAGTAACCAGAATTTTACGAGTTTGCAATTTTTAGAGTTGTCGTTCTTTTAAATAGACTTCAACGGAAGAGTCGGACCTAGGTAAAATTTGTCAATGATTGATAATTTTAAAGAAATTTTTCAAAATTTTTACTTCAATGTTTGTATAATATTATTTTAAGAGTTGTTTTTTACTAGTATGTTTATTTCACCGTTCATCGGACACAAATTAACCATGCATCGGACACTTTCTGATGCATGGGTAATCACTTCCATTTTCATATAAAACCCAAATGACAGCTGTTTTTTACGGAAATAAAAAATAAAAACTCTAAATTTTCAGTAGAAATACAAGTTATCAATATATGATGACTAGAAGTGGACTCTATTTATTTAAACTAGATGATGATAACACAGGAGACAAAGGTGTGAATTGCCATGTTACTGGCATTGTAAAGCCTCTCAAAGGTGATGTGGTGCCACTAAAATCTCTTCACATTTGTGGATCGAAATAGTCATTCAAATTTAATCAGAAGGTTAATTTTCAAATAAAAGATAAAATGTTCCGATATCACTAATTTTAAAGCATCGAGATCAAGGTATGATATTTTTCTGGTTTAAATACCGTATGTCCGATGCATGGTGAATATTATCCGATCCATGGTGAATTCTGACTTATTTAGAAAAAATCGGTTTTTAGTGATAGTTTCTCAATAAATAACACACAATTGTGTCAAAAAATTATATTTTAACTAGGCCTACATGTTAAGTTCTATTTTGATAATATTCGGTTGATAGTGATATCACTAGAACTTGTTGAAGTGCGAGGGTGTCCGATGCATAGTGAATTAATCCTATGTCAAAATTTGAAAATACTGATGTGCTAAGGAGGTAATTCAGGATGTAAAGAGAAGTAAAAAAAAAAAAAAAAGGCATGTGAGATGATGTATGATACCAATTCAGAAAAAATTGTAAAGGGAGATAATTTTTGAATGCAAAATCATGTTAGTAGTAATTCTTTAACATTCTATTTTATTAGCTCTTCTGAGCCAAAGGCTCAAAGAGCTAATGCTATGGCCATTTGTGCGGTGTGCGTAAACTTTTTAGAATATGGGCCATAACTCAAGAACCCCTTGGCCAATTATTGTCAAATTTGTCACAGGGTATCCTTGGCCCAAGGGCTCCCTTTTATACTAAAACTGGGGTTGTGACCCTTTAACAAGAGGAGATAATTAGGAAAATAGAAACAAAAGTACTGGTTGCTAAAAAATCTTCTTCTCAAGAACCACTGGGCAGATTATCACCAAACTTACACAAAAGGATGAGGATATGTTGTAGATTAAAATTTGCACGGGGATTTACCCTGGGGCAAAGGGTGTGGTCTCAAGGTCACTTCAAAGTTGACCAAAAATTACATTTTATTAAAATGTTGATATTTTTCGTACGATAAGGACTAGGATCATCAAATCTTGTCAGTTGGTGCATCTAAGGACCTCATATCATGTTGACTCAAAAGTAGGTCACGGTGACCTACTTTTTAAATTTTGCGGCCATTCTTTTTCAAAATGATTTAGAGGCATATTTTGAACAATTTAAGGCCTATGATCATCAAACTTTGTCAGTTGATGCATCTTGGGTCCTCAAAGTACATCAACTAAAAAGAGGTCACCTTGACCTACTTTTTGAACTTTATGGCTAATCTTTTTTAAAACAATTAAAGTCATTAATTCGAATACGGGGAGGCTTAGAATCATTAAATCTTGTAAAATGATGCATCTTGGGGCCATAAAACATATTTATTAAAAAGTAGGTCACAGTGACCTACTTTTTGAACTTTGCAGGCATTTGATTTCAAAGCGTTTTAGAGGCATAATTTGGACATTTTAAGTCCTATGATCATAAAACTTTGTAAGTTGATGCATCTTGGGTCCTCAAAAAAGGTCAACTGAAAAGTAGGTCACCATGACCTACTTTTCAATTTATATGACTATAATTAAATATTCAGGTACCAATTGGCTTAGAATCATCAAACTTTGTCAGTTGATGCATCTTGGGTCTTCGGAGTAGGTCGACTAAAAAGTAGGTCACAGTGACCTACTTTTGAAAATTTATGGCGTTAATTAAATATTTCGGGTACTAATTGGCTTAGAATCATCAAACTTTGTCAGTTGATGCGTCATGGGTCTTCAGAGTAGGTCGATTAAAAGTAGGTCACCGTGACCTACTTTCAGAAAATTTATGGCTTTAATAAAATATTTTGGGTACTAATTGGCTTAGAATCATCAAACTTTGTCAGTTGATGCGTCATGGGTCCTCGGAGTAGGTTGACTGAAAAGTAGGTCACCGTGACCTACTTTTGAAAATTTATGGCTGTAATTAAATATTTCAGGTACTAATTGGCTTAGAATCATCAAACTTTGTCAGTTGATGCGTCATGGGTCTTCGGAGTAGGTCGACTAAAAAGTAGGTCACGGTGACCTACTTTTGAAAATTTATGGCTTTAATCAAATATTTCAGGTACTAATTGGCTTAGAATCATTAAACTTTGTCAGTTGATGCGTCTTGGGTCCTCGGAGTACAACAACTGAAAAGTAGGTCACGGTGACCTACTTTTGAAATTTTATGGCTGTATTTAATATTTTCAGGAATTATTTGGCTTAGAATCGTCAAAATTTGTCAGTTGATTCATCTTTGGTCCTCGGAGTAGGTTGACTGAAAAGTAGGTCACTGTGACCTACTTTTGAAAATTTATGGCTGTAATTAAACATTTTGGGTACTTATTGGCTAGAATCATCAAACTTTGTCAGTCGATGTATCTTTGGTCCTCGGAGTACAGCAACTGAAAAGTTGGTCACGGTGACCTACTTTTGAAAATTTATGGCTTTAATTAAATATTACAGGTACTAATTGGCTTAGAATCATCAAACTTTGTCAGTTGATGCATCTTGGGTCCTTGGAGTAAAACAATTGAAAAGTAGGTCACTTTGACCTACTTGTAAAATTTTATGGTTATAATTTTAAAAAATATTTTAGGTATTAATTGGCTTTGAATCATCAAACTTAGTTGATGGGTCCTCAGAGAATGACAAGTGATAAGTAGGTCACCATGAGCAACTCTCAGGTACTAATTGGCTTAGAATCATCTTGGGTTCTGAGAGTGTGAATTGGAATTTCAAGGGTTTATCTAAATATACAGGATACTTCGAGGCTTCAAATAGAAGTGATAGGTTGTACAGTTTATCAGAAGAGCGATTCAAGGCCCATGGGCCTCTTGTTTTCATGTCTGTTATGCTTTCAGTATAGGGTGACATAGTGTTTTGCCCAGATTTCTTCTTCTGGGGGTAATCCCATACTTTTTTTGCTCCTCTAATATAACCTCATCAGCACTGTAACTTTTTTTTATCTTTTACCTTGGGCTTATAAAGTTTGTGGGGTGTATTATCAGAAGACCAAGTATTAGGTACTATTTTTTTTTGAGACCCAGATGTATGTAATTTAGCAGATAGGTACATGATCTCAAGATTTGTGATATGACCATTAAATGACAATTATCTTTGACTTTAGAGTTTTACTTTTTCAGCAAGAAAAATTATCAGTGCCAAAACTTAATTATCATTTATCATATTAGGCTTACATTGTTTGACCAAAAAGTATCACCATAAAGGGTTGTGCCTCTTTTCATCATGACCGAAATATACATTGACCTTTGAATTGTCTTCAAAGTGGAGACCTATTTACTAGTTACTAAAACATATCTACATTATATTGCATTTTTAAATCAAATTGATATCAAATCCAGGATGGTAACTTCCATAAATCTATATGAAGCATAGAGATTGTTTGATTTCCAGAGAACTTTCTAAAAGAATTGATATTGATTCTAGATCATTGGCTGATTCTGTACATTTCTGTTTGTCAAAGCTTTTAATAAAAAATTTCAATACTTTTATTTACCGACACTATGGATACTTGGTTGTAAGAGGAAGGCATAAATGTCAGAGCTTGTCAGTACATCATTTTTCTTGGAGCCCAATAACGCAATTTTGATTTTTCCAAAAGAAGAATTAATGCAAAGGAAGCAAATGAAATCATGGAAAAGGGGGGGGGGGGTCTTCCAATAGGAAGAAACATAAATTATCTTTTTTTTCATGGATGTTGTATGTCTACCTATCTGTAACTTTGTCACAAAATCTTCTAGTTGCAGAACTGTAGCTCTCTGCTTGAAAAATTCGGACAGATAAAGCAAAGAGCTACAGATTTAAGTGTTGTAAAAACCTTCGATTTACACCACCACTTTTTTTGTCGCTCACTTCGGCATTATTTCTTGTATTTTATGCTTTTTCCCGCTTTAAGAATGGCATCTGATCTCATGTTGTTGCCATTCTGAGATAACACCCCCAAGTTTTATTTATCCAATTTCTTTTTAGCTCTTCTGGTCTCTGATAGATACTGGTCTGACCAGTAGAGCTTATGCGATAGTAAGGTGTCCGTCATCCGTCCGTCTGTCTAGATGTCCGTCTGTCTGTAAACAATTTTTCAAATCGCTACTCCTCCTACAGTTTTGGTCTGATTTCGATCTAACTTGGCACACAAGTAGACTACACTAAGATACATAATATTATGCATCAGTTTTTTATTTCGATGAACGGTGTTGCCATGGTTACTAAAAATAGAAATTTCTGTGAAATTCCTTTAAAACGCTACTCCTCCTACAGTTTTGGTCTGATTTCAATCTAATTTGGCACACAATTAGATTACACTACAATACATAATATGTATTTTGGTATTTGATTTCAGAGAATGATGTTGTCGTGGTTACTAAAAAGAAATTTCTTTGAAATACTTTCAAAACGCTACTCCTCCTACAGTTTTCGTTTGATTTTAATATAACTTGGCACAGAAGTAGACTACATTAAGATACATAATTCTATTTATTGTTGCATGTTGCAAAGTTTTAAATCCAAGTGCTACTTTTCCTTTGTTATAAGTACAGACCAGTAGAGCTACAGTCTCATCAGAGACTTCTGGTTTTTACATACATTATGTCTTCTTTAAAGACAATATACATGATATTTTAACCCTCTGATTTTTATACGCCCGTCTTTAGACGGGACGTATTATGTTATGGCGTTCATGTCCGTCTGTCTGTCTGTTAGCTTTTCTCGTGTCCAGCTCATAACTTTAATACTGTTGGACTTTTATGAGAAGCGCTGACTTTTACAATCGACGGCTTACTTTTACACCAGAAAAATATATGGAAGCTCTTTTGCGATATAAATATTTAGCTTAACAGTTAATAAAACGATAATAATGGACCATTTCAAAGCCCATATTACGTTGTCTAGGAAGGGATCGGTATAAATTCTTCCCTCAACCTCCTCCCTTCCCACCTTGACTTACTTCTGCCAAGTTTTCCTTCCAGAATGTATTTTCTTTTTTTTAAAAATTCCTTTAGAAAATGAAAATAAAAGGAGACACTATCTCTCATGAGTAAGTCATTTTAAGTAATTTTATTTTACTTCTAATCATCTCTTGTGTTGGTCTATATTGTTAGTGCCCCTAATACCATAACTATAACCTACATTAATGTTTCTTTATCTATTATCAATTCCGTACCTCCGTACATAAGGTAGGTTTAAATGTCAAAGTAAGCCGTCAACTGTAAAAGTCAGTGCTTCTCGCAAAAGTCCATTAGGCCTAGGATAATCAAACTTTGTCAGCTGATGCTTCTTGGGTAGAAGGTGTGTCGCACACTAAAAGTAGGTCACTCTGACCTTTGATTAAGATGCTATGGCCAAATATGGAAAAATCCTGTCCGGCTCATAACTAGAAAACTATTAGACTTAAAATCATCAAACTTGGCCAATTTATGCATCTTAGGTAGAAGGTGTGTCGCGACCTATTTCAAGGTCACTGTGACCTTTAATTTAAGTGAAATTTAAAAATAAAACTGTCTTTTTACTATTAGATTACACAATCCCAAAAAATGCAAGAGTGTTGCAGTATCCTTATTAAAAATATGTTAAATCAAGAAAATACTTATTTTTTCATTATATACTTTACAGCAATCTATAACAAATGTAATGTTACAAGAGAAATTCCACCACTCCCATGGGTGTAATTATCAAGCACTGGTCAAGGAGAATTTGATAACAGAAAATTGCATGTCAAATTAGAGAGAAATTAATGTGTTGAGTGTGAGGAGCTAACTGGTAGAGCATCTCTGATCAAGCAGGTGTTATCTATATCTCTTGGGAACTGGGTAAAAAGAATCAGCCCTGTTGGATTAAATAGTTGGCTAGCCTAACTTTGAAAATGAATTTGGTGAAAAGTAATTAAAACTTATTTGATATTGTATATTATAAATTAATTTGATATTGTATAATAAAGTAATTGATATTGTATAATATAATTAAAACTAATTATACTGGGGGGGTGGGGGGTTATTGGAATCAGCATGCCTGTTGTCTGTATGAATTGCAGCTTAAAACCAGTCTGACATTAAATCTAAAAATAATCAAATATTTAAAAAAAAATGTTTTAATTATGGTAGATAGTTCCTACAAATCTAAGAGTAATGCAGGAACCTTATTAAAAATATTGCATCAAGATTACACAAGTTTTTTTTTCTTTTTATAAATGTTTGTAACAAATAAAAAAAAAATCTTTGTTTTTAAATTTAATATCAGAATGACATAAATGTGCATTTTTATTGCACTACAAAGCAGATAGTATGTATAGATCCATTCATCCGTTGGGAGTAATGAGTGGACATGCATCCAGTTAAAGATTAATTAATGATTTTAATGTAGGAAGGCTAGCTGTCTCAATCATTTCTGTTAGAGGATCTCTGATCAAGCAGCTCTTATCTGTATCTGACCTTTGGGAATTAGACAGAAGAACTGCTTGTCAGTTTATAGCATGTCATTTGATGGCCAGCCTTTTATTTTTGATATTAATTTGATATAGATTAAGTTGTTAAGACTAAATTGATATTGTTTAATATGATATTTTTAATTAATTTTTTGAAAATATCAACAAATTCAGAGCATCATGTCTCACAAATCTGAAAGCTAGAAAGGGGGGGGGGGGGGGGGGGGGGGGGGGGGCTGCAGATGGGCATTTGTCAAGCTCTAACATAACCAGTTGAAGATCTGTAATGTAATATTTGTTATAATTAATGCTTACACCACAAGAGATGTATAAACAAATATTATGAGGAATGCAAAAATCATTGAAATCCTTGTATCAAGGTTAAATTGACATGATTTTTTTGCACTCTAAACTGTTTATGACAATTGAACAATATTTGACGGGCGTATCATGCTGTGGCGGGGCACTTTATTTTTCATTTACATTAAATGTAAATATACACAATACTGAATCAAGGACTTGTTTTCTGGGTCTTGGAGATAAGGACAGGATGGGTATACTCATAAGTAACTGGGAAAGGGAGACAATTCTCCTTAATTAAAAAAAAAACCAGAAACTGGCAAAATTTAGTTTTATTGTTTTTTTTTACAGATCTGGAAATTTTTCTTCTGGTCATGGAGGATCAACCCCAAACTCAGAGGATGTGAAATCTCGAGTCATGAATCGAATCAAAGATACTACATCAAAGGCCAATCTCTCTAATATATTCACAAGAAAGAAGTGAAACTGTACGTATGAAATCCGTATCTAGTGACTTTTGAACCAAATCAAATACACCACCTCAAAGCTCAACCTTGTATTCACAAGGAAGAGATGGAACTGGGTGACTATGGACTTTTGCCATAAATGGTTGTTATTTGCAGCCTGTGTTCAAAACCACAACATATTAGCATTTCTGTTACCACTCAACACTGTGCCAGAAATATAATCACTGATTCCACTGTGATGTGAACTTGGAATAGTTCCATACAAAGCACAATATTTGTATTATGTATGAATTTTTAATTGTTATTGATCAATAAATCATGATTTAATGGACTGCTGGTCATGGGGTTGCAGCTCCGCAAGACAGTAGACAGCAGAAGCCATTCTCAGCCACATCTCTTCTGATAGAAAATGTTACCTCTGGAGTGTCAAAAAAAACTAAATTATGAATGAAAACATTTATTAATTGCATTTTATGTCTGTAACAGTTGTATAGAAACCAGAATTGTCAGAAGGAGTGTACTCTCTACACAGTAGCCATATTGATTGATGTGTGTGAGGGCATTTGTCATTTGTAGATGGATGATACATAAATGAATTTGTTGAGGAAATGAGTTCTATTTTTCAAAGCATTTCTATTTTTATTCCAGCTAGATTAATATCTCTCTGCCATGTTCATTGTGATATGAAGATCCTATGATGTTACAAGTACTTACAAAACAGAGTTGGTTTGGGGACCCAAAATTTGAATTTATACAACTAAATCTTGTTAATTTTTTTTTAAAAAAACAGTTTCTTTTGCCACAATAACATTTTGCATCATGTAGAACTTCCACCAAATGAAAAGTGATAGGAGAAACTTTGAATATTATTACATCATATGCATTTTTTAAAATGAATTATATATTTTTACTTATAGCACAATATATTTCCCAAAAAATCTACTTAAAATTACTTTCAAATAAAAACAAATAAAAATGTTCATTTTGTATTTACTTCCATTTAAATATGTATTTATGTATCCATTTCATATTTGCTACATTTAAAGCTATTAATTCGGATGCAAAGAAAACACCACTGATTTATGCTCATGTGGAAGGATATTTTGAAAATTTTTGCAAAAATTTTGGAAATGGGTAAACCATTGCATGGCTGATGTACTTATATAAATCTCTCCAATATTCATGTTTTTAAATCATTATATTATTTGTGAATAAGCATAATGTGTATACACTAATGCTTTATAATATTTTATATACATATCACTTGAACTGTTATTGTGATGGACATATAATATATACTTTTACAATCTTTAAGTTATTATCATTAATTTATTGTTTTGTTTGATGAATTGATATAAAAATGAAGTTTACAATAAATTACTCCTTTAGAAAACTATTTTCTTTTCATGTGATTGGTGTTGATTTCATCAGCCATTTTGTGGTTTTAAAGCTAAAAGGGACATACATGTATTGAGTCAAAATTGTGTTTCTTTTATGATATTTTTATCATAATTAAATCAAAAGATTTAATTAAATTATAAGTCTCTGATGAGACTGTAGCTCTGACTACTGATTTTTACTTAATTAACAAAGGTAGGGAAAAGTGGTGAATAGATCTCTGACCAATAGAGCTAAAAATTAGTTAGCAAAGTTTGGATAAAATCAACTGCTCTGTAAATCAAGCAAAGTATAATTAAGTACCGGAAATGCAAAGGCTGTATCTTTTGCATTATTGTCATCTTCCATGACAACTTTTATTTACTGCATAACTCGTACACAACGTGGAGTTGGAGCATGAAAAGGAAAGGAATAAGTTATAATCTGATTATCCTATTTGAAGATTGTAACAAAATTCTAGTCAATTTTCCTGTTTTTGCACCATGTCTCTTTAAAGGGATCTGCTTATACAAAATACAGAAGTGAACTTTATTTAAACTCCTTGCTTAGTCATAAAATCTCATCTTTTTAAAAAAAATTTGGAAAATTTCTCATTGATCTTTTGAAGGAAGAGGGGTGTATTTGGTTTGTAATCTGCAGGAATGCTCAGATAGGAAAATGTTATATTACACTGACCTTGTCAAAAAATGTTGTATTAAAGTCTGATCATCTTATGTTTGCTTGTTTCTTTGAGTAATGCAGACATTTTAAAATCATGGAGCTATGACCCACAGATAGCAGATCTGTAGAAATGTGTGTGTAAAAATGTAACATTCTGTTCCAAATGACACATCTAGCCATATTTCAAGGCATATTTTAGCCAATAAAAATACAATATTGGGAAATTTTCCTATCCTGTATCATAAGAACCTGATTCGGCAATACATTGCTGAAATATCATGCGTGGCACCAATGAAATTTTTCAGTTTTTAAGTACACCAATATTCCTGCTAAATCCAATTCAAAAGTGCCCTCCTATTTATGAAACTTCAGAGCCATCATAAAGTTTCTGAAAAGGAGAGTGGTATCCCCTCTTCAGAACCGAAATTTTTTTTCTATAAATGGGTACAGTTTTGGCGAGTTCTGGTGCAATTCTTAGTAATTTCTTCACATTCAAATAAACCAGGGACCTATATACTATATAAGTATATAGGTCCCTGAATAAACAAAATAAAACTGCAATACCTTAAACAGATAAATAATAAATTTATTTTGTTTTAAACATTATATTTTCAAGTGTTTTAAAAGGGGTGCTATTGCACCAAATGCCCCCCTCCATTCAAAGTGCTTCCACATGCACTTGAAAGATATTCATTATTCAGACAATGATATGCTCTTTGGGTATTATAGTAGATTTGATCATGTACTTACTTCATGCTATATCCCAATGAAATTCTAAAATCTTATTTCTTAATTTATATCAATTCTTCAATGTTTGACAAAAAAATATTAACAAAAAGTCTGTGAGTCAATGCTCACTAGTAATACCCCTGCTCTGATGTGAATATATGCTAACATGAATTCCATCACATGGCATGCCTAGACAAAGAGTGTGTTAAAATTTCAAGCATCAGCAATGAGTAGTAACTGAGAAAACTGCAACAAAAATTTGGAAAGGACTGATGCATGGATAAACAGGAAGTTGACATTGGATTTGTACAAAAATAGACCCCACCATTTGGCATGCCTGGACAAAGACTGTGCTAAAATTTCAAGCATCAGCAATGAGTAGTTGCTGAGAAAACTGCGACAAAAAATTTAATGGAAAGGACAGATGCACAGAAAAACAGGATGTTGACATCAGATCTGTACAAAAATAAATCCCATCATATGGCATGCCTAGACAAAGACTGTGCTAAAATTTTAAGTATCAGCAATGAGTAGCTGCTGAGAAAACTGCAGCAAAAATTTGGTATGGACAGGTGCACAAATCAACAGGAAGTTGACATCATATTTACCATATGGCATGCTTGGGCAAAGTTTGTGCTAAAATTTCAATCATCTGTGATGAGTAGTTGCTGATAAAACTGACGAAAATTTGTTACGGACAGACACACGGACAACTAGAAGGACAGACACAATAAGGGTAAAACAGTATACCCCTCTCCTTCCGAATGGAGGTATAAATGGTTTCTGCGATAAACTTCTGTCAGTATATGTCTACAGACAGACATGGTGATTCCAATAGCCCCTTAACTTCATTTGCCGGGGTATAATAATTTGGATTTGTGCAAGTTTAAATATTTTAATGTTCAAATTTCTAACTCTTCCAAAAATACTTTCAAGCATGAACAATAAAATTTTGAACAAAAACTTCTGAACATAAAGTATGTAAATTTCAATGTACAAAATTTGATCACGAGCAAATCTGTAAACAATATCAATTAAACTTTGAAATAATACATGTAATTATTTCTTCACATTTTTTCATGGGAACATCACAAACATGTACCGGTACTACCTTTTTTTTTTTTTTTTTTAATTTGGTACACTTAAATTTTCTTTGTTTTTGCAGGAAATTATCACATCTTTTTTTAAAAGTAACTGCAAGTATTAGTGATAAAAGCCTCACTTTGTTGAAATGTAAGATAACTTTTTATTGTTATACATTTTTCAATACTTTTAAATTATTTAACATGTAATTACTGACAATTGTTGAATGATCTTTTTTTTAATCATTAAATGAAATGTGCTATAACTTTGTTTGTCAAATAAATAAGTTGCATTTGGCATAGTAGATTAAAATAGCTGTCATACAGCCACCCAACAGTTCCAATATTCCCTTGATTGTCTGTGTGAATGTATATGTTTGATATTATTCAGTGTATGTTGCTATTTCCTGACTAGTTGCCTCGGTGATGACCTCTTCTCCGTCCTCTAGGACCACGCTCTGGATATCTGTTGTCTGTGTTTCTCCATCTTCCACAAACTCGTTAGAAAGGGCCTCCATGTGTTCGATGACATCTGCCTCCATAATTTCCACCTCTCCTCTGACAGGTCGAACCTCTGTCCTCTCCACAGAGAATTCCTCATCCTCCATGTGGGTCTTCATGTGCTGCTGCAAAATTGTCTTCCTGCTGAACCCTAGTCCACAGAAGTCACACCTGAATGCTTTCTGACCTGTATGTGTTCGTTGATGTGTGACTAAGTTAACCTTCTGACAGAATGTCTTCCCGCACAAATCACATTTGTAAGGTCGGTCTCCACTGTGGATTTTGATATGGCGATACAAGTCCGATATCTTCCCAAACTTCTTTCCACAAACATCACACACTATTTCTCCAGTATGAACCTTCATGTGAGCATTCAATCTCAAAGTATCATTGAATCCTTTGAAGCAGACACCACATTTGAAAGGAGAGTTATCTCCCTCATGGATTTTCATGTGACGCCTCAGATTTCCACTTTCATTGAATCCACGAGTGCAGATAGGGCACTTGTATGGCCTCTCACCTGTATGTGTCCTACAGTGCATGCGGACCTCGTACCTGTGTGTGAATGCCTTCCCACAGTAACCACATTTAAATCCTTTGGTGTCTGTGTGAGACTTTAAATGTCTGTGACAGTTACTCTTATTGTTGTACTCTTTTCCACACACATTACACTTATAAATAAACTTTGTTTTAGTTCCCTCCTGAATTTCTGCTTCAGCTTCCACCTCCATGTGCATCTTGGCAGGAATTTCATTTTCTGTAAAAACCTCAGACTCTGCTGCTGGTTCAGGTAGTGAGGCATCATTCGAAGTTACGATGTTTGCAGGGGCAGTCACAACTTCAGCAGCTGGTGGAGGGAACAAATCAGGATCTATTTCTGTGGCTACATCTGCAATACTCAGCTCAATAATGGAAGCTTCTTCATTGGGAAAAACCATCCCAGGAGCTTGTTTGTAGTTCTTCCTCTTCAAGTGATCTGGCAGGTTCTCGAACACTGCAATCTGCCTGAGCTCAGAATGTGTGCGAAGATGGGTGGAGAGGCTACTTCTGGGGTAAATCTTTCCACAGTAGCCACACATATACACTTTTTCCTGAGCATGAATTTTAATGTGACCCTGCCAGTTCAGTTTATTTTTATAAACTTTTCCACATATGGTACATTTATGGAGAATCATTTCATTTTCACTACCTGAATTAAGAATGATAGTGCTTTCACTCTGAGAGACAATACTGTTCTGAATAACTGTGGTACCATTCGGTAAACTGCGAAGTTTAGGATCTCTCAGAATTTCTTTTGCAGTAACTTGAGTTGAGACATCATACAATCCTTGTCTGGAAAACTTTGGAAAAACAGTTATTTGAGTAGCTACATCTCTGTATTTCTTGGCTTGTATTGTCATGAGGGAACTGGTGGGTGGGCTTGGGGCATCCTGTTTTGTTGGGGATATTATGTTCATCAAAGTTTTATTCATCCCTTTCTTTTCTGTATTCTTATCTTCCAACATGTAAATCTGGACTGTCCCATCCTCCAAAACCTCGCTCTTGTAATTTGCCATTTCTTGTACATTCTCCACTGTCACTTCTTCATTTGCCATACTTTCCTGGCTCAGCATCTCAGGTTCGAGTTGATCCTCTGAGATCATGATCTCATGGATCTCAGTCTGAGATTCAGTAGAAGGATGAGAGTCTGGCTTGGCTGAGCTAAGAACTTGGATGTACACCTGATTTCCATCCTCTGTTGACACCGGCAGTAACTGAACCAACTGCTGGATAAAAAAAATGAAGGAATGATTAGTTTTAGATATTTTTGCTTTTTTACCAAAAAAAAAAAAGCCCTGGTAATAGGCTAGAAAGTGCACATGAATATATTGTACAAATGAATAAAGAGATGAATATAACTTTATAATAAATAATCTTAAATTTACTTTTTTAATCATGTTAATTAATTGAATATTTTGAACAAATATTAATTTTACAGAAAACTGTGAAATTTGTTTCCAAAATAATTTGAAAACTGTGCTAGCTGTGTACCTGGTTATTTTTGTCCAGTTTGACAGGGACCTGGTGGATGGCTCCGTCTTCATCTGTATATTCAGCCATTGTTTGGAGGTCTTCCATAGCCTTAACAGGATATTAAATGTTTATTATAATTCAAAAAGTTTGAAAGACACATTTACAAATGTCTTTTTTTTTTTAACATTCTCATTTTTGAATCAAATAAGTCTGAGGTTTCAGCAAACCCTGGCTTAATATGTGATTCAGAAGTCAATTATTAAATTTAATAGGAACCAGTACAAAATATTTTGTTATTTTATGAGATTCAAAGAAAAAAAAATGAAAATATAATTATCTATACATTTTGACCAAACCAAAAATTTCTAACAGGGTGGAATTAGTAGAGCTTCAATGTGTACAAATGGAAAACTTACTCCTACTAGTAAGAGCCTAGCTTAAAACCCTATGCTTTTAATATACCTCAGACTCATTTGAAGAGCTATACATGTTTGAATTTTACCTCCACTTGGCTGTCATTTTGAACAATCTGCATTTCACTAACAATGGTGCCATTCTCATCGACTGTCTGTATAATTTCCTGCTGATTCTCTACCCCCTCTACCTGTCCCTGCTCCAACACAATAGCATTGGCCATCTGTAAAAGCTGTTCCCCTGCCAGGGCCTCAGTAAAGTTGTCACTCTCAATACTCTCTGTCTCCTGATTGGACGATTCTGTACAGGGGCGGTCCTGGGTCTCATCTGTCTTTGGAGGTGTCTTCTCCTGGATCTGAATGGCATCCTCAGCATTTTCAGTTGTGTAGGTGATCACCACTGGTTCACCAGACATGGATGGCATTCCGAAGGATAGATTCCCTCTGCCTCCCCCAGGATCCTCCATCTTCACCGTGGAAATGGACTCCTCCATGACTTTTTCCTCCTTAAAAATAATATGTTTGTCAAATTTAATTGCACGCACTGCTTTTGGACATAATACCTGTAAAATATGACCCTGCTCCAGTCAGCTCTACATAGTACTGACTCCTTTCTGAACTACAATATGATTCGTAATGGAATTTAACGTCATAATCCTAAACTTTAGTTAACATGAGGGGAAAGAGTATAACATGTATACATTTTTTTAAACTGGCCTGTTGAGAGTTTTTCTTACATAATATTGTAAAAATTTCTTGTTGTCTGAAGTTTGAGAGCAGTGTTTTATATAAACAATATGAACTTGGTGACTGACTATTCACAATACTGTATGGTCATTGGTGGTTTAATTAATTTGGGGCTAAAAATTTCTCTTAGTTTTCCCTTAGAACTTTAACAAGAACTGTCCAATATGGACAAATACCCCCACTGGGTTTTTCAGAAAAGGTGCCAAGTCACTAAACATAGTTTATGGATCTAAAAGGTGTTCACAATTTGTTTAAACATTTAGAGTGAAAATTTAATTGATCATTATATTTTTTTAATGAATGATGAAATAAGGTGCAGTCAAATAAAACATCAATAATAATAATTATTGTTATATTGTTTTTAATTATATATATAATAATTAATTAATTCTTGATCATATTTAATATAATTATTGTTATTTGTTTAACTACTGTACTGTAACATTGTTTTTTATTGGATTGAAAAAAAATAAATTGCATTTGTCATCTTTGTGAGACATTAACTCTGCAAATTTGTTTGTTGAAAAAGAATAAAAATATCATATTATACAATATCAAATTAATCTTGATAACTTTATACCAATTCATTTTAAAAATAAAAGGCTGGTCATTTAGTAACTATGTACTTTAATTTGACAGGAACTTTTTCAATCATGCCAAACACTACCAAACGGTAAGGTTGTTGTTGTATGGATGCATTTTGTTCCCAAACTGTAATGAAATCAACAAAAACTTGTTTGTAACAATGTACATGTATTTATAATAGTTTTACAGAAGCTGCTTATAGATGGAAGTTAATAAAATAAGAAAAAGAGCATTTAAACAGTCATTGAAAATAATTAAACATTAATTTTAATTTGACAGCTAGCCTATAAATTACAATTAAGAAAATTAGAGTGGCCCACCCTACCCCTTGAATCTACACTACCTGAGGATGCTTCCATATAAATACATGTATGACTAATCATGACTTTGCATTTCTTGAGAAGAAGAATTTTTAAAGATTTTTGCTATGTATTCCTATTTAAAACTTTGATCACTCAATTAGTGGCCCCACCCTAAACCCTGGGGGGTTATGATTTGAACAAGTTTCAATCTACTAAGATTATGCTTCCACATCAATATGACTGATCATGACTTTGTATTTCTTGAGAAGAATTTTAAGGATTTTTTTTCTCAGTATTCCTATGTAAAACTTTGATTGCTCATAGTGGCCCCACTCTATTATTGAGGGTCATGATTTGAAGAAATTTGAATACACACTATTTCAGGAAGCTTTCATACAAGTTTCATCTTTTCTGCCCTAGTGGTTCTTGAGAAGAAGAAGTTTAACTAACCACACCCAATTTTTACTATTTCTCAATTATCTGCCCTTGAAAGAAGGTGTGGCCCTTAATTTGAACAAACTTAAATCCCCATTATCCAAGCATACTCTGCACCAAGTTTGGTTGAAACTGGCCCAATAAAAAGAAAATAAAAAAAAGTTCACTACAATGATGATGATGACAACAGACTACGAACAAATTTTGATCATGCAGAAAGGCTAACTTTAGTACTCTTTAGCTCAGGTGAGCAAAAAAATATTGGAATATAGAGATGCTCCTTGCATGTGGAACAAAGCAATATTTGGTTAAAGTTGATGAGCCTAACTGTCATTAGAATGTCATAAGTGTCTATTGGACAATCTCAGACAGTCTGTCTGATATTATTATGAGACTGTGTTGCTGATTTCACCGTTTTCACCAACCGATTGGACTGGTTTATGTTGTTGTAATGCTTTATAAAAAGTAGATTTCAACATATTCTGATAAGTGTTCAGTTTCAGAATGGTGTATTCTTCATATTGTGTGTATAAATTTTCTGTCTCTAAATACACTAAATCGCTGAAATTAGCAGTTTAATAAGGTCGTATTAAACACTTTATGTAAAACTGTCGTAAGACAAAAAAAAATCCTAAACAAAAAATGTTGACGTTTTCCCCTCAAATAACAAATATGAAAGTAGACTTCATTCCGAAGTCGCAAGACTCAAACGCATTTAAAACCTTTGAATTCCCGTTGATGCTTGCATGCCACCCAAAATCAACGCTGCAAAGCTTCTAAGTGAAAATAGTCAAGTTGTGATCTCATTTCACGGTTCCAGCGCTAGTATATTGAATTTCTATAGATAACATTCTCATGATACAATAGAGCCTCACCTTTGTATAAAAGAATTGTCGATTTAAGGAGTGTTAATCACAGATGACCTTTACAATTCTTCGAACGAAGACAAAATGGCGGTGGAGGCGCAAAAATTCCTGCATACGCAAAGAACGATAACTCTGTTTTTCACTCTATAGAAAACAAATAATGCTCGGGCTTTAATGCTGTTAGGAATGTTTCTTTAAAAATCATTGAATAATAAATAATAGAGAATCTATAAGCAAAACCATACCGCTTTATTATTGTAATTATTATCTGAAAACTTGATGTGACACAACAGCTCTCATTACATTTCATTTTAGCTTTTCCCTGGTTATCTCCCTTTAAAAGACTATAATCACCGCCATTTTGACTTTTCTGTTCGAACTGGAAGGAAGTGGTGACATGCAATTGATAATTGACAAGAAACTGACTGGTAGGGAAGCTAGGTGAGTCATGTTTGAGTAGTATTTAAGCCAATTTTCTGTTTATCTCTCCGAAGCTTGCTTCTATCCGAAATCGACGGTATGCAAGCATCAAATTGAGTCCATAGGTTCTTAATGCGTTTGAAAATGGTTTACTTTCACTTTATAGAAGAATTTTCTAGCGGACGAAGATTTTTTCATTATTTTATATTAATTAGTAATTATGTGTTCAGATTTTTGGCTTATATGCTATACTTTGTGAAAGTCAAATGCATATTCTGTTACAAAGAATGTATACTTTAGACTAGTTTTAACATTCTTAGAATGTAGACTAAGAGTAGGTACTAGGTAAACACACACAAATATATATATCCTCACGTGAACATACTTGCGACAACTGTTGATAAACAAGTTAATCCTACAATTGTGAGATGAATCACCAAGAAATTTAATTGGGATCTTTTGTAGTCCTAAACAGTAGGGACTTAAGGGAGCTTAACAAAATTTATTTGTAGCTAAACTATCTTTAAAATTGTTTTTTTGGCACTGTATCTCATTTGGGATCTACCTCTGTAAAATGGGATTTTTATAGCCTGGCCATTTAGGCGGTTGGTCCTAGTAGGATTAAGATCGATATTTTTGGCACACTATAACCTTACAGTATTAAGCACAAATGTGAAATCTTATCAAGAGTTCAAGAATTACAGGTTTAGTATTGATGATGCAAATTCATTCTAAATATTGCCATCTCATAGTTCAAGGATGAACTTGTCAGCTTCATCTGTTCATGCAGATTCAGATTTGTTGGTTGCAGATGAATGCACAGTTACGCTAAGTTGCTTCCCTTTATGGGGTCAACCAAAAGTTGTTATAGGTTTCAAATCGTTATGCTAAAGAGTACCTGAGCATGCATAATGTGATTTAAAGGTTTATTTATTTGATACTGTCATTCATCAAATTTATAACTTATAGAAATAAAACTTTCAAATGTGTAAGATACAGAAAGCTTTCCTGGGGATAAAGTTGAAAATTTCCTCTTTTTTTCCCGCAAAATTGGAGCTAAGAGACTGACTATTGTTAACTGTTAAATCATATTTAATTACTCTTTAGTACATATGCACACTAGAGCATTTTTTCAGTTGATGATTTAAATGTATATTTTATTACATGATTTCATTTGATTTAGGTGAAATATGTCTGCTGATTACCTGACAATAGCTCCTACTGAAGAAAGTCATAACCAGACAACAACAGCTGAGACAGTACAACAATCAGATGTCCCACAGGGAAGTCAAGAGATCGTCATTGACGGCACTCCCCTCCAGATCCCGGCAGGAAATTACAGAACAGAGGTCTTGGAGGATGGAACCGTTCAAGTTATTGTCTACCAGGAACCAGGGAATCAGACACTCAGTATGTAAACATACGGTATAAGTAGAAATTTTAGTGAGGATTCAATTTTTGGCAATTTTAGCAAGGTTGTTGAGATCGCTAAAATTAAATATCGCTAACAATTTATTCCGCATTAGAGGCTACTGTTATGTTTAAATGCATCACAAAATCGCTAATTTTACTTCTTGCTTAAATTAAATAGCAAATTTTTAGGAAAAATAGCTAAATTAAAGTCTCGCTAAAAATTCAACTTATACGGTAAATTCTCAGGTTCAACTTAAGATGGTCACAAGACATATTAATGAATTCAGATCATAGGCGTCGGAAGCAAATTAAAAGTGGGGTGGCTAATTGAAAGTGGGGGGGGGGGGGGGGGGGCTAAACCAACGAAAAAAGGTAAGCCCCAATTTTCAATGCCTATATTATGTATATCTTTGCAAAAAAAGTGGGGGGGGGGGGGCTAAGCCAGCCCCCCCGGTTCTGACGCGTATGCAGATAGAATTTTTACATAGATTACAGGGAAACATTTATGTACATTCATTGCAATATTCGAAAGTATCTTAAGTTAATCAGAATTACAATGTTGGCATGACAAATTAACAAAACATCATATTCTGAAGGACAGTAGCACAGACTGTAAAGTAAAGCAATTTTTGTAGGAGTATAGTCAATCATGAGGATTGCTAAATTCTTAATGATTAAAATACATGTACCGGTACTACATGTACATGTATATGATGAGAAATAATTCAGTACAAGTTCCTTTGAGAAAATATCAGAATCAACATAAATGTGTGTAAGACAAAGTCCAGTACAAAACTTGATTATTTAGTATTATGCACAGAAGTAATAATTTACACATATTGATCTAACAAACAAGCTTCTGAAGGTCCCTGTTGCAATGGTAACAAAAGAAATGAATATAATACTAAAAACAATTACAGTAAAACTTGGTTATAAGGAAGTCACTGGGATCTGTGAAATTACTTCGCTATATCCATATAAGGAATTCGTTAAATGTATATAGCTGGGGATCCAAGAAAAATTCACTGTATCCATGAATTCGCTATATCCGTGTTCGTACTAAACGAGTTTTACTGTATCCAACTTTGATCTCATAAAGTTATGCAATTAAATTCAGTTTTCTTTTTTAAACTTGCAGATAACACTGTAACTCAGCCAGCAGCACAACTAAATCCAGTTATCTTTCCAATAGAGTCGGAGTTCAAGGCTCGTCGTAGTCATGACATTGGCATACAGAACACAACAGTGCCACACTTCAATACGTACTGCTTCACAGAGCAGGGTACCCAGACATTTCCTACACCAGACATAGACTTACAGCAAGAAATGATTCAGCCAGAACTAGAGGATGAGGAAGTAGAAGAGGAATTATTATCTCCTCTCCCTGGCAAAAAAAAGAGGGGCCGGCCTCCAAAAGCTCAAGTCATTCATAACCTCACTGTTCCCAGTGAAAGCAGTAAGTTTAACAAAGGCACCAAGGTTATGTCCTATCATAAATGTACCATCTGTGGTAAATGTTACAAAAACAAAGCCAACTGGACAGCTCATCTTAAGTTACATGACAAAGAAGAGGTGTTTATGTGTGGATTTTGTGGGCAGATATTTCAGAAAACTGCATTTCCTCAACATTTAAAAACTCATAAGAAAGAAAATTCTAACAACGAAAATGCTGCCCAGTCCAATATGGAGGCTAGTACTGCCAGTTCATCAGGGAATCTGACAAACACTCCCCTTTATCATGAGGCCAAACAGCCAAGCCCCAGCAAGCAAACAGGAATAATGAAACCTGCTTCAAGCATCCCTGCCAAGCTGGACATCAGAACTGGAAATCTTGACCGGCAGAAGGAAGTGGTCCTCCAGAGCCATCAGGTGACCCTTCCCAATCAGCAGGTTGCTACGGTAATAGATCTGGGGAGCCTTGGAAATCTGTTGACATCTGGCAACAGTCAGAATCAGCTGGATTTGATGAACAGAGATGGGGATCCTGAGAATTCCCTAGAGGGCATGGAGGGGGAGAATGATGATACTAAAACCAAGTACATCTATAAATGTAATGTCTGTGGCAAGGAGTACAACAACAAAAGTAACTGTCACCGGCACCTGAAAACACACACCCATGAGAAAACTTACAAATGCCCTGCTGATGGATGCGACAAGGTTTACATGCACAGATATGAACTACGCATGCACATGAGAATCCATACTGGGGAAAAGCCATTTAAGTGTGCTGTCTGTAAGAGAGGATTCAACGAGGGTGGAAATCTTAGACGTCACATGAAAATACATGCAGGGGATGACACTCCTTTCAAATGTGGGGTCTGTTTCAAAGGTTTCAGTGAGATGTTCCGCCTACAGGTTCATCTGAAGGTACACAGTGGTAACATTGTGTGTGATACTTGTGGCAAGAAGTTTGGGAAGATATCAGATTTGTACAGACATATTCGCATCCACACAGGGGATAAACCCTACAAATGTGATATTTGTGGGAAGGCCTTCTGTCAGAAAGTCAATCTCCAGACTCACTACAGAACACACTCAGGAAAAACACCATTCAGATGCACCCTCTGCAACTTTGGCTTTAGCAAGAAAGCCATCCTGGATAATCACATGAACGGCCATGAACCAGAGGAGATTGAAGAGCATGAGATGAATCTAAGAATGATGGGATTGACAGAAGCTGTCACTATCAAACAAGAACCTCGTACCCCTGCTCCCCCTCCTGTGGAAGACCCAGAAGAGGAACCCCAGCAGATGGAGGTCGTGACCTTGGATGCTAAAACTGGCTTGGTGGAGGTCACTCTAGAGAACCAGGAATCTGAAACTGGACTCAGTCAGGAGGAGCTGGCTCAGCTAGTGGCAGCCACTGTGGAGGAAACTGAGGAGACGTGACAATAGTTCATATAGAATTAACTGTTTAACGTGGTATTTATTACTGTAAATATTGGACTTGTATCGAGATTTAGGAGTTGACATTAAAAAATCACTTCTTATGGGATGCTTGTAACATTTCTAAGAGTTGATCTAGATTTTTAATTTGTAGTTTGTTAAAATGTATAATTACTATATTTTATGAGCCTTAATAAAACATGGATGGTTAATTGTAATATCTTTATTTCATAAATGTTTGTCACATCAAGTAGTTTGAATATGCCATAAATTTCATGTATTAGAATAGCCTCAGTGTCTGCAGTATGATAACAATTCAGAACTTTAAACAAAGAATATCTGCTTCATTGTATGAGCAAGTTGGTTTTGGAAAAAGGAATACATGTATGACTTCTGTCCACATCTTAGCTTTGTTAGTAGAAACAATTAAGGCTAATATTATGCATAAAGACTTATATTGAGTTGACAGTGAGTTGCAAGCCTGAACAAAAATAATTTGAACCAGGATATAGACAAAAATAATGTGGACATCAAAACATTAGGCTATGTTTGATGCAAAATTCTGTGTGATCTTGGGATGTGTAACAAAGTCTAAGGTACCAGTGCTTTTGAGAAGGTCGATGATAAATATACGTCCAATGATAAATATGTCCTTTTTTTACATGGCAGTTGGGAATAAAAATAAGTTGAATTCCAATCCTGGCCATAACTGCCAAACTAGTCGACACAAATGTGTGCATAACTGAAAAACGAATCTCCAAAGTTAGTGTACTGTAAGGTGTGTCTTAACTATATCTAAGCCCTTTATAACAAGGTAAAGATGTTGCATGACTCATACTAAAGCTTTTGTTGCAGTGACCACAAGTTTTAGATACAAATTTTGTACCATTATCTACACTTTCTTACCATCAGTGGTTGGTTCTTTTATAAAGGAATATTACAAGTATGTTAACTATGTGTGTCATTTAGGTTCTCTAATAAACACTTCATACTTGTACTGCATGAGAGCTCAGACACATGCAAAATGACACTTAAAGCATGAAGATAATATTTTGTAAAATAATTTATTTTGAGTTGACATGTACTCAGAGGATAAACTGCAGACAGAAACTGAAACAATGTCTTTTTCCATTTCCTGGGTTTAAATGACATTGAAACAATTTGGAATTTCCACATGCAGTTGTATAAAATCTGGCACACCCAGTCTGGAGGGGCTAGCTATCCAGTGTATTAAGAGTTCTTCAGTCTGATTTGGATCGTGGTTAAAAAATGAGATACCCCAAACAGAATCATGAGAAAGATGTTCATACACATCACAATAACATAATGGCTGATGCTTGTTCCTATTTCCAGCCAGCTACCATAGTCCCTCACCAGGAAAAAGAAATTCTGAAAAATATTCAACAGAATAAATATCAAATCAGTGTGTGAAAATATAACACAGAAGCTGAAGGGCAAAATCAATGTACCTCTATTTTGATTTTTTTTTTAATATAATAGACTGAAAGCAGTCCAATGCTTTAATTATGGGAAATGGTATTGTGGAAGTAAAGGGCACAAATCAACATACATAAATCAATTCTGATTGATGATCCCAGCTTACTGATTTTTTTTTCAGTTCAGATATCTTGGATATCATGATAACTTTAAAGTATAAGTCACATATCACCTACCAATGCCATAATATCGGACATGATCATGACAATCAGAAACAGAGCTCGGGTGGGAATGTGTGTCAGGATTTGGACGGTACGGAAAGAACATGCCACCAGCACCAGAGGTAGAATGTTCTGCAAGTAAATATCCCTTATAAATGTGACTGTTCAAATTCACCATACAAAGAGGCAAGTAAAGCATATTATCAGATTACGTGTACATATATCTCTGTCTATATTGTTCTTACTTTGAGCATTAGGAGAGCACCCATCATAAATGGATTAAAGACGGTCAGAAAACAGTAAACAGCAGCAGGTTCAAAGCTGTCAAAAATTATGAATATTATGCAACAATTCAACTTTTTTCAATGAATAAAAGTAAAAAACAAAAAAAAGTGCAGAGGCTCATAAATACATACCTATTTATACTAGCTATATTCCCTGTGCTATAAAAAGCTACAAGTATAAAGAAAATCTAATCCTGCTGTCAAGGAATATAACATTAACACTAAAGAATCTTCCTCTTTAAAAATAGCCTTTTTATTTTCCTTAAAGCTGAACACAACTTGTAAAAGGAAAAGACTTAGCTTTATCTGCCACATTTCTCTGCGTTCTTTTCTATATCTAGAGCCCCTAAGTAAGCCTTTGACTTCTTCACGGTTCAAAGTATTTTGCCTTACAGATCTTACTTGTTTAGACGTACATCTTAAATTGCCATTCTTACTTGTCACAATAAAATTATCAAATGTATGCAAATATACCATGTCAGGAGAAAAAGTAATATCAATTGCAAGGTCAATGTATTACAAATGAACATATATGCATGTAAAACAGAGAAATAAAATGTAAACACTGAGCTAATACGGCCTTTAAGAGATACATATACTATATGCTTGCCATGATTTCTAGGGCTGCAATCAGGTGTAACAAATGCAAAGGGTATACATGTATATACCCTAGGAAATATGGCTATTTACAAGTCATGTTCAGCTTTAAGAAAAACAATAATTTGCAGAAAGAAATAATTAAGATACATCTGAAAAAATAAAATGTTACAAATTTAAATTAATTAAATTTAAAATATGAACCGAATCACATAAGGATACATAAAATAAAGATCTGCGTATATCTTCGGCCACCACATGGCGTTCTCCTGATGATGGTGTTGCAAAATCAGTTGTTAGAAGATTCTAATAAAATAAATGTATTTAGAACTGAGCACACTTAGATGACATGTATTATTTTTATTTGGCAAAGATTTTACATGTACTTTAGAATCTGGATAAATGGGAGTTGTTTTTTTTTTTTTTTTGAAAAATACAAAGCAAACTGAGTAAAGTTCTTTTTTTTAAATTATATGTACCTGGCTATTTCAATAGCCTGAACAAATTACATGTACATAATATTATGGGTACTCTTTCAATATCAATGCATACAGTCATGTATATTGTGGTATGTTATTACATGTACTGTACCTTTCCTTTGGTATTATGTACACTTTTCTCCAACTGAATCCACAAGTACAACACAACACAGAAACACACAATGAAGACAGCCTCCTGTCTGAGAAACAGTTAAGGAACATTTGTACATGTACGTTAATGAAGAAAGAAAATTAAAGGTCAAAATGTGGTATTTCTCTTGATCTGACAATAACACGTTCTTGAAGGATACAATAAACTCATAAGCAGGTAGACAGGAAAAAAAGCAAATGCAATGGAGAACAACCGTGGTATCACCAAAGTGGGGCTCAGCAAGGGGACCACTATGGAGGTACCTGAAATACAAATAAACAAAACATATTTCAGGTTTTATTCCATGTTTGATACAAACCAAATTTTTAGGTTTCACTTTGATCACATATTTAATCAAACAGCTTCATCATTTAGATGTTTTTGAAACACAATGTATACACACCTAGAATGGCCCAGGACAGAACCTGGTTGAACCAGTGAAGTCCTTCTTTTCTTTTTATACTGGACGATACTGACCACAGATTGTAAATGGCAGTCAGAAGTATGGTCAGCTAAAATATATTGCATGTACATGTATTTTAACTTAGATATAACATATATGTACAAAAATTACTGAAGAAAAAAACAACTAAGTTTGGGTACATTTATATGTACATTGTATTTAAATGTACATGTGCTTGAATGTTGGTAAAGTCATCCCAAATGTTAATTTGCATAAAATTTACCTGTATAAATCTCATTTTGGCACCCTTTGCATCCTCCAGGTGTACTCTGAAAAAAATGACAGAAATGGGGTTTTCTTAAACTCTACATATCATCAATTTTACAAGTTTTTTCAAATGAAAAATGTTTTTATAAATCAAATAGTTGTAAACTAAGTAATTTACACAAACAGTAGCTTGCAAGTTTGGGATGACCCAAAATTAAAAGTAGGCTCTGTAAAAGTCATTAAACAACTAAAATCTAATTACATATTTTGCTTAATTTTTATTGACATTTTCACTTCTTCAAACTGTAGATTTTCAACATTTTCCATCCAAGATCCCAGGACACCACCCTTCCCCAAGGAAAAGGGCAAAGACCCTCTTGTCACTCCCAAATCATTTTCAACTTTAAACAAGTTACATATAAGGAGGAGTTGTTAAAATTATCACTATCTGTGGACGATCAAAGTGAAATGTCTACCTCTGCTTACCTTACAACCACAGCACCAATTATTAAGGCTAGGAGTCCAGCCAAGAGTCTGAAATACAAGCATAAACATATCAATGCTCAAATTATCTTCCATAATACAGTAACATTGACTTTAAGATATATATTAAAACCTGCTTAAAATAAAAGTGGTTCAACACTGTTAATTTTTTTCCTGTATGAAATGTAGTTGAATTATAACCCTTTTCATTGCCTGTATATAAATAAAATAATTGTACCTATTTGATTTTAATTGTAATGATTAAGCTTGACTCACACCAAACAGTAGTTACTTTGTCTCCCAACAACAGGAAGTAAAGGAAACACAGACAACATCAGACAGATCACCAGCCAGGCATACTGTATAGAAGGACAAACCAGGTAAAATAAACATCAGCTAGTCATAATGACACACATGGAAAGAAATGTATGTGTAGAATTTTATCACCCTACATATACGTGTTCAAAATAATTCAATACATTACAAACATATTAAATATGCATTTTTTTTTAATTTGTGAACTCCCAATTGAAAACCTTCCTGCAGCAAATAATAATCACAATCTAGGTTTCCTAGTCTTTACCTTTTTAAAAGGTTTCTAACTGTTTCACCACCATAAATATGCATGAGCTGGAGTTGCTCACAATTCTTGCAGATATTTCTCGCAAGCAAATTACAGTTTACATTAAAGATCAAATCAAAGGCAAATTACAGCATACATTAAAGACCAAATCTGAAGTTTTCTTTTTTTTTCTGCACTTGATTTTGCATTTGAATGGTGAACAGTCAGTATCACAAAATGTGCTAAATGGCTGATTCTGACCTGATTACTTGACCTAGATCTGTAAGCCCAGAATGGCCAGACTCCTATGGCAATAAAACCTATGGAGAAGATCTCCCTGTAGAAGAATCCAGCCACCTGAAAAAATCATTTTTTTTCAATAAATGTTCTCAAAGACGAAACTATTTCTTGCTGTCTGTCCTTTCAACAATAGACATGAACAAACTTACCACAGCCTCTAGGCCCAATAAGCACATGACTGTTACTACTATGGCAGACATCCCACTGGTGTTCCATTGCTTGCTGATCACAGTCACAAATATATGCCACCTACAAAAGAAATTCAAAATGAGCATTTTCAGGAAGGGGGGGGGGGGGGGGGGGGGGGTATTACTCCCCTAGTTATTCAAATGTCTGTGAGGAGAGAAAACATTTCCCAAGATGGCTGACCTCTCTAAAACCAGCATCCACAGCAGAACAGGAACCAGGCAATAAAGGTAGTAGGTCCAAGGTAGAGACTGGACTGAAGCAGAGAAAAGACATTGGATCTCTTAAAAACCTATTTTTCAGGGAAAAAATTCAAAATCAAAGAGGTAAAAAACATGAGAATAGAAATTTTTTCCAGTGTAATTGTTAGAGCAAATACATTGATGCTTATAATTCTTTCTTAGAAACACACACCTACGAGTAATACTATAATCACCATGGCAACAGCTGCAGCCAAACCTCGAATAAATGTCCTTGAGAGCAAAAATGGAGAATTTATCTCATCAAGGAAAGTTCTCTTGTTGGAAAAACCCACATGATCCCTCATAATAAGGGTCAGGACATAGAATCCCCAGCCCACAAAACAAGCCGTGATACTTAGTCTGTAAATGATATACATGTCATTAGATACAGGGTCAAATGAAAATTACAATAATACAGAATTCACTCTTACAAGACAGCATACAGATGTCATATATACATATATAAATAAATACATGTACAGTGTATATGTAAAACAAATGACATTGTTTATTACCCAAGCAGGAAGCGGTCATAGTTCTGATAGTAACCTAATCCTCGTAATGCTAGCTGTATCATATGTTGAGACTCTTTTATCTGCAAAATAAAATGTAAGGTCACATTCACATTTAATATACCTCTGCAGTAACAGAATTGAAGATAAATCAAAAGGTACAACATTTAAAGGAACAGAAAATCATTTGTTATTTCACTTTCTTTTAAATTTCATGTACTTACTGCTTCTTCATAACGACTCTCTTTAATTAAATTTCGAATCTTTCTGGTATGCAAAACCTTTATTTAAAAAAAAATATGACAAAAGAGACCATGAAAAGATTTTTTTTAAAAAGACTAAGAGAATTTTGACTTAGTATGAAATTGATGTCCTATCAATAAACATATGTTAACAAACATGTTACATGTAATTTATTCCTGTCGAAATACCATACCTGTTTATCTTCTGTTAATTCCCTATGGAAAAAAATCATTAATTCTTTATTATTTGATGTCATTGAAAATAAATCACAAGAGTATAATATCAAAATTTAAAAAACTTCAGGGTATTTACATTTCAGATCTACATGTACTTTGAAAAATAGAAAGTACAAGTCTGTTTCATCCTTGCCATTTACAGAGTTATCTCCCTGTATTAGACTTCATACATCATAAAAATAAACTTACATAAATGGTCTGAAAGTTTGAGACAGTGTTGTTCTCTTTTTCTGTTCCATTTTCACCTAAAATTAAAATAGAATGATTTATATTCAAACAGATTTATAAACCAAAGAGAGCTGGACACTGAATTCCTTCATGTTAAATCAGCAGTTCCAGTAGAAACTTAATTTTTCTAGTTTGTATTTATTGGACTCTTCTGGTAACTTCCAAATATTTTTAAGATGATATATATGCCAAAACAATTCTATATAAAAAGTTATCAGACCAATTAAGATCCTAACAGACCTTAAACCTTAAACAGTCTGTAGCATGTAAATTTTTCATACGGAACAGTGTTTAGTATACATACATGTGTATCCATTACTTAATTTACCTTAAATTGGGCCAAAATTTGCTGAGCATTTGCAAACATAGCCTCTGCTTGATCAGGAATTGGTATGTTCAGAACCTCTATAGGTAAAATACCCTACAAAACACAAAAATGATATCAAAAACTATCATCTAAAACGGTATTGGTGTTGGCATTATAATCATCATATAAATAATGAAGTATTCCAAAGCCTAAAACTACATAAAACATTCCTGTATGAATTAGACCAACATGAACAAAGCCACCCAGTGATGAAAACAGCATCATACAATAAAAAATCCTGACTGAATTCTTGAGAAGTGACAACTTACTACAGAATTGACAGGGTAGGCCACACCAATCAGTGCTGCCATCAAGGGAGATAAATCTGCCTGAAAAAAAGCAACAGAACTGAGAAATGTTAGGAATCAAAATAACCAGAAGTATGATTCTTCTGCCATTTTTCTTCTTTGGTATAAAAATTTTTAGTAATATTCAAAATAAGAAAAATCTTTTATTTATACATCAGTATGTAAAATTTACCAGTAACAAGACCGGAAAAAATGTTACCCTGACTTCTGGGTTCAGCTAAAACTTTTGACTTAAAACCTTCAGAAAAAAACACAAGTTCTCTCTTAACTATATTACTCAGCAATGTGGCTTTTCCCATTAATCCATTTTAATCCTTGCTTTGTTTTGCTTGTTTTTGAGTGTTTTTTTTTTTTTTTGGGGGGGGGGGGGTTATAATGTGATGTGAATAATGATGGTTTTTTTAAAGAAGCAAAAAAACAGACTTACAGTTTACTGTTTTAGAGCATGCTCTACTGACTGATAGTTACATGTACTTATCTGAATTCCTTTTTAACTTGTCGGAAGCTTTATTTTTAAGAACAAGAATGAAGAAATTGGAAATTACATTGACTTATAAAAATTTGTAAAATCATGACAATAAAAACCATCATGTTGGTCAATACAGTAGCACTGTCTCTAACCTAGTCTTGATCATCTTCAGAATAGATCCTAAACTTTTTGATCATAAACTATTCTGAGAAATGACACAGACCATTTTGCATTTGATGCTTGTTGTTTATAAAAAATGACAATGTTATATACTTTATGAATACTGTGGGGATTTTTTTTTCCTTTTCACAATATTCCATAACTGTACAATGGACTTGTCCGATCGCAAAAGGAACTGGAGAATTGGACAAACATTGATGTTGAGCCCTGCTGTAAAACATGTTTATATATAATTTTCCCTACCATTTAAAAATTGTTTTGGTACTGTGTTACACAGTGCAGAGAAACATACCTGTTGTACATCAGATCTCTGTAAATGACTTAATTTCCATTCTACAAAAAAAAAGAAATAAAATATTAATTTATTTGTTACTCTTCTGTTCCTCTAAAAAAATTATTTTCTTTTTAATGATCAATGACTTAATAATAATAAAAACATTATAAATATTGAAGGGAAGAAAATATGTGGACACATGTATTACTTTTTGAGAAGCCATCTTCATCAAGCTGTGAATTATGCTCCCTGGGACCACGAATCCCTGCCCCCCAGGCCACCAGTGGGGTGAGGGTTTCTGAAGGATGTCCGGCTCCATGAGACCCCCAATCTGTCATCCCATGGTCAGCAGTCATAAGGTATGCAGTTCTGTTGTCATGGTGATAAAATTCTTCAAAAAGCTGTACTATTTCCTGTATCCCAGAATCCACCGCTGCTATGTTCCGTAAGTATTCCCTACAAAATGGTCGTAATGTATCATTTCCTCGCAAGAAACAGAAACTTTAAAGTAGAACTGGTAGTTCTTATTGCCTCATTGAAATCTTCTCACAAACTTGTTCATTAGAATCTCTGTCTATTTTATCTACATGTAGTCATTAAACTTTTTGTCTATTTTATCTACATGTAGTCATTAGACAATTTGTTTATTTTATCAACATGTAGTCATTAGACAATTTGTCTATTTTATCTAGTCATAATTAGCTTCTACTTACTGTGAGAATGGTTTATGAAAGTGACCATTTGTATCAATGCCCAAAAGATGAAGGAAGAAAACATGTAGTCATTAGACAATTTGTTTATTTTATCAACATGTAGTCATTAGACAATTTGTCTATTTTATCTAGTCATAATTAGCTTCTACTTACTGTGAGAATGGTTTATGAGAGTGACCATTTGTATCAATGCCTAACAGATGAAGGAAGAAAACAATCTTGTCTTTTTGAAGTTTTCCCATCAATGCAGAGTCCTTGGTTGCCTCAAGGAGGAAAATCTGTCCAAGAAAACATCATTATGGAGTATTGTCTTTTATGTCATAAGTACCCCACTACTAATGGTGTTTTATACAGATACTTTCTCAACATTTCCAAACTTGGTAGTAAAAATTGTATGACTGCGATTCCTCTTTTACACTTACCTTGACCTTATCAAATACCCAGGTGTCAAGTTTAGATGCATCAGCAGCAGCAAAGTCCTCATTCTCAGAGGGGTAGTAATCCATAAATACATGGTCCCCAGAGGCTCCTAAAGAGAGAAATAAAAAAATTCCAACTTCTTTCTTCTGTTACTTTGTTGGATTCTTGATACAAAACAAATGAAATAGATAGATACATAGAAAAGGACAAAGTAATCCTTGTGTAATTGCTATGCTCTTGACTTCATTTAATATAAATAAAAAGTTGTGGGGAAATTAATCCAATTACGCAGAATAACAAATGGTATACCTTTGGAAAACATGGGAAGAATGTCTGGACTTCCCCAAGACCAGGTGTACTGGCTCTCATTGAAAACTGAATCAAACTCTACAGGATTCTCTTTCCATCCTAACACAAATGATAAATTACATGTTCAATAAAAAAAAAAGATAAAGATTTAATCCAAAACTTGCACTAAATGTTCTACTGAATCTTTGCATTATGATTAATCTAACCAAGCACATTCTTGACACACCCAGTAACTCTTAAATGTCACTTCAAAGAAGTTATAAATCAGAACTTAAAGTACTTAAAATACTTCATTAGCATGTTTTCATGTACCTTTTGCTACAGCACTGACATCTTCATAGAAGCCTGCTATGAGAGCCACATGACCTGGGCGTGACTCAGTGGGCACTCTGGTGTGGGATACACCCCATACTCCTTTATTCTCAATCACAGACCTAAAACAAATTGATGATACATTTATCTGTTCTTTCTTACACCAAAGTAACATAAACTTAAGATATATAATTTGATTCTGGTTATAACTTGGTATAAGATTGGATAAAAAATTTACTTTATATCGTATAACTATTGGGCTGCCTACATCACAATGATGCGGTTTATAAAGCGTAAACTTCCCCAATCCAGTTTATACCGTATAAATTGGGTAGCCATTAAATTCATTCCATAAATAAAATTATTGTAGTTTTTTTTTTCCACCCCCTACCCCCAAAAGATACAAAAAGCGGTCAAGGTGGTGTGATAAAATGGGCGCACTTGTTTCATAAGCCGGGTCAAGCTGGTTGACACTTCCGGAAGCGGGCAAGTAACTTGTTTCAAATATTTTTAAGCCACCGGGCGGTCAGAAAGTAGCCCGGATCGCCCAAAAAATTTGGAGCGGGCAGATGAAAAGCAATATGGCGGAAAACGGAGTTAGAAGTTTTCTTGATGGTGAAATATTCGTTTTTATCATTTGCAGTAGTTTCAGTTTCAATAAACATACAGTACTGAGATAATAAGTAACTTTTGTAACATGTTTGTTTATATTTGCGCGACCAACACTTCTTTTTTTAATTTTAAAGTTACTTTTCAGTTTTGTTTGTAACAAGGCCTTGTGCTCCAAATTCTCACATATTGTGCATTGAATGGATCTAGTAAATATTAAATTGCAAATATATCTACAAAATCATTGTCCTCTTGCATTCAGAGAAAATTATTTATTACAGCAATAGCACCGATAACAGTATCAGCCATTTTCCGGCTGAATTTTCACTCGTTTCAGCGACACTAACCGGGTCAATATGTCATGTGATAAAAGTTAACCGGGTCATCGCCCAGATGTCTGAAACAAGTGCGCCCAATGTGTTTGCCCCTAAAATCATAAAAATATATCATCCAATCTGACTAAAGCCAGACCTCTATTTACGCTATCGCATATGCGAAAGCGTAAATATAGGTGTGGCTTTAGTCAGATTGATATAGCATCATGCCAACTCTAAATTTCAAACATTTTTTAAATGTTCAGAAGTAAATAAAAATAAGGTACCTGAGATAAGGTGCTATAAATTTGCCATTCTCTAAGGGTTCATAAAACTTATCAGCTCTAAGTCCATCAGCCACAAAGAGCATGAGACGCTTGGCCGGAGGATTATAGATGGAGATAAAAGGAGTCATCCCATGTACCAAAGGTGAAGTGAAATAGATGTCAAAAATAGAGTAGAAGAAGATCAGATGAACAGTCACTCCAAACACAACCAACTGCCACGTCCTCATGTTGAAAATCAGCCTAATGGTAAATTTAATTTAAATTATTAAAAGTACAGACATATGTACAAGTAAACCTCAAAGTTCACAGGAAAATTCTACAGATAAAATATAAAATCAACTTGGAATTATGTGTTTTCCTAAATATAAACTTAATGAACATCATTACCTTTTGGTTCATGGATCTGCACTTGAGTAAGAAAACTCTTTTATGATATAGCGTAAATTCGGGTTAAAGGCGTGAATCGCCTCGACAATTCATTCGTCCCTGATTCCTAGTACTTTTTTTTGTTTTTTAGCATACGAGTAATATTGATGAATTCTCGTAAAACCTAAGAGAAAATAAAAAAAGATCTTTAATGACCAACTGAGAGTATAAAATTAATAATGCTCTACATATGAATTTTAAAAAAATTATAACGAAAACTACACGAATAATTTTAGTATAACTTACCCAAAATCTTCACGCCGCGATATTGTAAACAAAAAAATTGTTTTTAAGTATTTCGAAGTTTATACCCCATTTTACTCGAGATTTACTCTGAGTATTGTACACAAAGATGAAAAATTAATGCATTTGTTCAAGCAATCAGTTGCCATCGGCTTCTACATCCTGTACGCGTTGTTTGAGTCACTAAAATCGCGTTATCTCTTGCTTCCGCCTTCCGTCTTTCCCTCAACTGTTTGAAGCGACAGTCCAAGATGAGGCAGATAGAATGGGCGATGTGGGCCAATGAACAGGCCATAATCAGTTCATCTGGTAAAAATAATAATGATAACTTTTATTAATTTTTCATGATAAGCATACAAACATATCTTAATGAAAAGAAATACGACCTCCTAACTGAGGTACTGGTGATTTTTATGTCGTATGATTCTTATATCCCTAATTTTATAGAAAAAATTTCCCCCTCACATTTGATGTGCATTATTTCCTGTCCGAAATTTAAAATATGAAAGCCCAGGTACCTCATTATGATGTCCTTATTTTACTTCCAGTCATCCTGTTTGGTGGAATTATTGGTATAGCAGGATTCTTTCAGGCTTGGGAAATTGGAATCTATGCAGTGTATCCTTAATAAACAGTATTTTTGAGCAATATATGATTATTTTAGCTCACTCTACAAAAAAGAACAACGGGACCAATTGTAAGCAAACTTGATAATATTGGGTAAAAGGGGATGCCAGTGAAGGGTCAGAATCCATATCATAGGGAGAAATTTGAAAAAAAAAAAAATAGCACAAATATGGTGGAATTGATTGAAATTACTCTTCTCAAGAACTCTTAGGAAAGATAAGACAAAACTGGCTTAAAAATTTTCTCATTTAGAACTTAAGATTCCAATTTTCAGAAATCTTGATCCAATGACTAATCCTGCTAGGATAGGACCAAAACAGTGGTCAGAAAATTATATGTTATAGGAATACAATATGTATATAGGAAAGAAAAATGCTCAAAGAATGAAAAAAAATTCCCAAGATCAGTTGTACCACAATTAGTCAACTAATATGAAAGCATCCCAATTTAACATAAATTCAATATGTATTGCAAACAAATGTGTTAATTTTAGAGCAGCAATAAGAGTTTTCGTTCTCTTTCATCATGAGGAGAAATGTTACACAAGTGAGCATTGTGTCCCGCCTCTTATTAAATAAAGACTATCAAATTTAGACTGACATCAATGAAACCCCCCAAATCAAACATATCTGCAGGTTATTTTACTTAACACCGTATCTAGCATTGCTTCCATTCTGGTGTTTGTGGTGGAGTATCCTCGGGGCAAACGAGTCAAAGGACGCACTGTAGAACGCAAGTAAGAAGTCACCTTTTATTTATGATGAAATAGACAATACCTACACAAGATGAATTTATCATTGAAAACTCAAAATTTCTATTCTGCAGATTCCAAAAACCCTTCACAAGACTGGTGAATTGTAGTGGGTTACTTGGCAGGAACTATTTTGTCAGATTCTTATTCCATCTAGTGTGAGTTCTCCAGCAAATAGAAACATTTCTTATCAAAATTGGATTGTGTTGGCCAAATGAAGAAAATGCTTTTTCTTTGCAAATAAATTCTATTTCAGATTATGTGCTCCATTGTGTTTCATTCTCGCAACGATAATGGGTGGACTTAGTCTGTTTGTCACCAGCATGATATATCTAGCAGTAAGTACAAATACCAGTTCATTTGGTGGAAATTACACAGTTTAACTGGGAGGGGGATAAATGAACAGTTTTAAGTACAATTTAGATGAATTAATTGCTTCATCTGGTAGTTAGTACTTGCCACATAATCAGGACATGATTAGTACATGTATGAAATCATTTATCTGATGGTGAGTAGATACTGTATGTATCAGAAGTAAGTACAGAGCTGCCAACCCTTACCATTTTAGCGTAAGGCTTATGGATTGAATGTCTAAAATATGCCTTATAATTTCTCTATTTCTGCCTCTGATTTCTATTATTCTCCATCAAAAGTTTAAAATACCAGCTTTTTCATAGCTGTTCACCTTCAGTTTTCAATTTTATAATAACTTTTTAAAAAGTCATAGTCCTTTCCCTTGCTTGTATTGTTATTGTCAATTTCTATGCTAACTTCCAATCTAAATCATTTTAAACAATTTCGTGAAAAAAATCAGAAAATCAGAAAAGTCATCACCACCGAGGCAGCCCCTGGACCCCCTCCTTAAGATTTTTCATTTCATGATTATGGGCAGCTCTGCAAGTACATTTAAGGTAAAGTTTATACACTGGATGATTTACTGGGGTGTAACTATTGGTGTTCTTGCTAGCGCGAGTTTAATTTTTTGAAAGTACAGCAACAGCGGTATCTTTTTTGTGAGCATTTGTGAAATTTAAGTGAAAAAGGAAACTGATAATATCTGACAGGATGGTAGCAAGATGATGCTGTTCATGGAGCTAATGTTGTACAGTGTATTATTTTTAAAAAATCTTTGTGGAGAGTTTATTTTTATTTCAAACATCCCTTTTACTCAAATATGACATCACAAAGTTTGTGTCCTAAATGAAAGAAAGTGTTAGTCAGCATAGTGTTTTATCTCATTCACAACTGAAAACAATGTAGTGATGAATTTTTTAAAAAATTATAAAGGGCAATAACTCTGGAATACTTCTCTTCATAAATATCATTATTATTGAAATACATGCAATATTTTCCCTCTACTCCCACATCTTTGTATGTAAAGTGTAAGTCTGCTTCTAATCATTTTCCTGGATGTTTCCTCTCGGACTTGCTCTTTTATAGTCACGTCACTCCATATTCAATTTGCAACTCCAAATTCCTCTCACACATATACTTTTGAAAAAAATACATATACATGTACAATAACTTATTTTGTCCTCTTCTAGGCTGCATTTAAAGGTGAACAATGGAAACCAGTAGGTCTGGAGGAAAAACCAGCAGAAGATTTGACGAAAAAAGATCTCAAATCATTCCGTCAGCCTAAGAAACCCCCACCCAGAGCCCCACCCCAGGAGATACATGACAACCGTGTCTGAACACTGAGCTCCACCCAAAGGGATAAAGGACAGTCATGTCTGAACATAGACTTCTTACCACATGAGATTACATACTTTATTTTATGATATGTGTTGCTATTTATAGTTATGACAAATTTTAAATACTTTGACTCCTGTGCCATGTTCACAGCAATATTTAATCATATCAAACTCTCTTTATATTTATATGTGTGTTTCACTCCCATTACTTCAGTGCTAGGTTAATAATAGATTAATAAATTATCTCACTCCTCTTGTGAGCTCATAAAATATAATCTCTTCAATTATTCAGCTAACCATACCCATCAATGTTTAAAGAATTACATGCCTTATGTGTTTATACACCCAATTTACTTAAAACAGTTTTATTAACAAGACATTTTTATGAAATAAATTATTGTGAATTAAACTACATGTATATCAGTGAAACATGCTTATAGGGAACGGTCAGGAGTGGACAATTTTGCTTCATTATAGACATAATTTATTATATCCATTAAGTTTGCAAAACCTTTTTAAACCATGGGGAATGAAAACCATTTTGCTGCAAGCATGAATTCATTAAAAGTGTGTTTGCTTGGCTGCAATAATGTAGCCCTCTCCAATTATTTTCAGGAAAGGCCTCTCAAAAAAAAAAAAAAAAAAAAATTGGACAGGGCTACATTATTGCAGCTAGTGTTCTCTATAAGCATGCTTTACTGTAGATCTATAACAAAAATGCTTCTTGAAAATCATTTTATATACTCGCATTTAATGACTTAGTCACATGTATTAAACATCAAATCTTGAAACAATATTTCCATTGCATGGAGGAACTAAAGCATGTAAATGTGTCCTTATACATGTGACTTTATTTTAAAGTAAATGTATTGCATTATTACAAGAAAGGCTTCAACATGCCTGATTTTGGTACAGAGTCATTAATAGTTAAGATGTACAGCAAATGTTTTCTTTTCACACGATTATTACATCATCAAACTTCATAAATAAATCATGTAAATTTTATATTACATGTCAAAAATTTTTCACATGAGCATTAATTTTATTGCAAGGGTGGAAATTACAGCTACAAACATATTACAATTCTATAGTACAACTAACCAATGTATTCTGCATAAGTTCACAATTTGTGCCCTTGTGTCTACCTGCACAGGATTTAACTTTGTGTTCAGTACTTTGAGGAAGCAGAATGTGTTTTCAAATTGACACCATGGTTACACATCCCAGACATAAAAATCCTCCCTCCAGAAACTTCTCAATCCTGATGTGAACACACACCTGATGTTTTAGATGCTGTTACTTTGATCTCCAGTTCTGAGGTCAAATCACATTGGTGGTTCACTTTCAGTCCTTTGATCTTCTCTTCTTTGACTAAAAAACAAATTAGTATCTCTTCTCATTGTCTCTGAAATTATAAAGTACTCCTGACAAATACATGTATGTGGTGTTACACATGTACTTACTGCTGGCAAGGGAAGGGAATCTGTAGACTCTGTCTGCTTATTGCTTCCTTCAGGTCTGTTACAAATGAAATATTAATAAAGATGAGGAATAATTTATTTTTATTACTGACATACTGGTTATATATATTTGTGGTGATAAAAAAAAAATCCTCCATGTTGAAATTTGGTAGAGTAACTTTTAATGCTGAAATTTAAATAATGGGGTAATTTACACAAAATACGTTAATAAAAATATTTTGCTTTCCAGCTCAAACTCTACAAATTCACTTCTTTTATCAGCATTAACAATAAATTATACTGGTACATGTTTCATAGAAAATAACCCAATCCATATGGTTTCTGCCATTGGTTCAAATAAATACATGTAACTACATTTTACAGAAGACCACTAATGTTGAACATATCACTTTTAAAATAAGTTCTGCACAGTTGTCCAGCCCATGCTTCCAATAGAACATCCTCACTAGCTAGGGTTTAGGTCTGCTTCTCTCCCCTTTCACAGAGGACAGGAGCAGATAAAAACCACTAACCAGTGAAGATGGCCAAACCACTGACCAGTGAAGATGGCCAAACCACTGACCTGTGAAGATGGCCAAACCACTGACCTGTGAAGATGGCCAAACCACTGACCAGTGAAGATGCCCAAACCACTGACCAATGAAGATGGCCTACAGACAGATTTGTTTATCTTACTTTTCCCTGTCAGCCTGAGCTTTCCTCTTCAGTCTGTGTTGTGGGAATGAGGGCATCAGTTCTGGATCACATGCTGTAAAATAAGTATCTACAATGTGTATTGACAGAAACCAGGTCAACTAATGTTAACTTTATATGCAGTGTTATTTATAGTAAAAGATGGTTATAGTGAACACACTCGTACCTGAATTCAGGCTTGTAGAGAATTACATTTATAATGAATCGGAATCGTTCATCCCTGGCACTTGAATTTATGCATGTTTACTGTTCATTGTATACATAAATATTTTTAAAAAATGTACCATTACTATAGTATTTTAGATATGAATGTAAGACTTAGTGAAGTGCATTTTAAGTCAATTCAGTGCTAACTAAAATTTTGGTTAACACAATGAGTATATAGAGCAAGGTTGACATACGGAATGGTTGTTCTTTGAAGTAGGAAAAGTCTAAACAGTCTTCAGCAGTTGCTCTACAAAGCAATAAGTACACATTTTAAATAACTTGAAACAGAAAGATCTGTGGTTATAAAATGGGGCATTCCAGACAGTTGCAAATTCCTGTGGTAGAGGAAGTGGAACTTCTAAGTATTTATATTTCTTGGCTTTCTCCAACTATTAAATATGAAGTCTATTTCTAGTATATATGTACAATAGTACTCAGTTATGGTCAAGTGTGGACAAAGAGACCATCAAAAAACCACTAGGCCCAGTCTTTCATGCAGTGGCACATAAAAACATCAAAGTTTGGAAAAGGAGATTTAAATGATATCGTAACTCAGCATACCTTTTTGAAGGATCATACATGAAAAGGAAATTGAGGAGCCGAACTCCAGAATCTGTCAACCATGGAAATGTGTGCTTTATGTTGTTGTACCTGAAATCAGTGATGATACAGTAATTATAAGAAGTACCTGTAATTAGAACAGCAAAATTTAGTCCTCAACTCATTTTCTTACTTTTGTTATAATGTCTTTATACCTTCTTTAAAAGCAAACATGATGTGTCTATAAACACACCTCCAAATATATGTATGGCAAAGATTTAAGGTGAACAAAATATCCTGGATATACTATTTGTGTGATTTTATGAGATTTTGGTGGAAAGAGAGAGATTGCTTTTAATTAATATCAAATTCAATACACAATATATGATAAACATCTTAAGCTTGATGTGGTATCAGAATGGAAAATCAAACAGGGACCTCTGATTGTGAAGTGAGCACCTTAACCGCTACACTAACTAAATCAGTTCCAACCTTACATCTATATATGTTGTGATATCCTGATAGGGTAGCTACAGTCAAACCTGTATTAAGCAGTCACCTACGGGAACCATCAAAAGTGACCTTTATAGAGAGGTGACCTTTGAAAAGAGGTTCATCTTTTTTAAAGAAAAATTCTTTTCCAATTTATGTAAGTTCTGTGTTTTAAAATACTACATCATAGAATATTAAAGAAAGATGTGTTTTGGACATCCATGGTCTCAGTTAGATTTTTTAAAATTTAAATAGTCTCAAGATAAGATTAAGTTCAAGCTAAATTTGATGAGTCAAACAAAAAATATATTGAGTATAATAGGGCATTGCATCACCCTCCCTCCAACAACAACAAAACTTTCTTTTATTATAAGATAACATTATCATGTTGTGCCATGAATAAAAAATAATGTATTTTTTATCTAAACTGCCTTTAGAGGCAAGTTAAGTTCATCCTGATAATCGTATCTTTAATAATACATAAATAGTAGCGTAATAAACAGACAAGTCATAATATTCTCAGTTTATCAAAGCAGTTCATAATACAAATTGATATCAAATTCACAGGTGTTGTGAGCAGTGAAGCGTGACTAATCCTAATGGTTGTCTTACCTATTTGAAAATCATGAGATAATCAGGACATAATGAGTATACAAAACAGTTAATTAGGGTTTCTATGAATAATACCTGGCCTGCCATGCGTTTACACAATTACACTTATCGGAGTTGGGCATGCCAAACGTGAACTAATAATTAGGACAAAACTAATTATTGTATCCATTAATATATAAATAAGGATGCCTTGTTTTTTAATATCATTCAGATTTTTTTAACCAGATTCCAATTCAATAACAGTAAGATTCTCGTTAGTCTGTTTTCCTCATAACCTTTTCGGTCACTAGCACCCTTGTCTAGTTTTGTTAAAAAACAAATAAAATATCCCATATTTTAAACGGTTTTAATAAGGCCAATTATTTTTTCCATGATCTCGCTACACAAGACCAATTATTTACATCAGTGACAAAAATTGAGAGTCACCTGACTTTAGATCTGGTCACGTGATCAGACAAAATAGCTGCTATATACGAGGTAAAACGGCGATTTAACATTAAATTTGATGACCGCTGACCACGTTACGCAGGTGACCGCTTAACAGAGTTACATTATATAGGAAAATTCATTGGGAGGAAATAAAATGACCGCATAGGACAGGTGACCGGTGGATAAAGTTGATCGCTATGACAGGTTTGACTGTAATTAAAGAGATCACAAACACAGGGTTTTTAAACTGAGTACATTTGAAAGGGCATTAATTGTTGAACTTGTGCCAAACTTGGAGTTTACCTTCTATGGTTCAATAGCCAAATAAAGAAGTTTTTGGGCAGACAGAAGGACAGATAGAATATACACATTATGCCTTTGAGGTCATAATAAATTGATACTTTAAGTAAGATTCATGCATATGGAAACTTTGTGAGACTTACGGCTGTTTCTTCAGTGAGAGGGTTTCCATTGCAGGTAACTTGGAAAATCCCTACAAAGAATTACATATGAATTGCCAAGTGAGAACTGGGAATATAAAATAGATGCAATACAGACACTTAAGTTTCACTCTCTTAATACATGTACAATGAATTTCATTTAATTTATACATATACAATGTTGTTCTGATCAAAGCAATACATGTACCACCATTTAAACAAACACTCCTTCACCAATTCATAATATTACCGGCCATATATTGTCATTTGGGGTCCCAAACATTTCTATGATGAGCTCAATTTGGTGGATTTCGGACCTCCCAGGTAGGAGAGGTCGGTGTGCCAGCAACTCCCCAAATATACAGCCAGCTGACCTGTTTATGATGAAAATTGTGAACACTAGTATTAAATAACATAAAAAAAATGTCCAGTTTTACTCTATAATAGCAGGGTTTACCATATTTATAACTCTTAGCCAGAGAAATGACACTGTATACCCTAATTACTCATAAATCAATATTTAAAACAAAAACATTTATTGGGTTTTTTTATTTAGTGGATAAAAATTATCCCTTTTGGATCCTGAAAATATAACATAAAGTAAATAATCCATGGTTTGGGGCATATCATTATTCAAATTTTAAGGTGCCAGTCTAATTATAGAGATAAAACCTTTCATTTATATAAATCTTTTTTGTGCACTGCAAGCTGTATGCTCCAAACTATGGTTTCTCTTACAATAAAACAATCCCCAGTTATCTACCTTATTTTACACAATTACACACACACAATGTAAGCCTATCTTCTCCTTTCTTACCACATATCTATAGCCGTTGTTTGATACTTGGATCCAAACAATAGTTCTGGTGCTCTGTACCTGTTAAAATTTATAGAAAAAGGTGGCACATGTATAAACCCAAAGTTATATAACTGTATATACTTAGTAATTAGCACAGTATATAACAAAACAAAAAGCTTCATAAATACCACAAAGTCACTACTAATGGTGTTAGTGGTTGCTGAGGTAGTCCATATTTTCTAGCCAACCCGAAATCAGCTGAAAAATGATCATATCATTTTAGACCTTGCAAAGATTGACTTTGTGAAGTACACGTCAAAACATAACAACACATTTGAGAAGGGTATTATTGGTAGTGACATTTATTGTGATATAATTTTATCACTTTTACAGTAGCATACCTATTTTGACACTTCCATTATCTGTCATCAGCAGGTTAGAGACTTTCAGGTCTCTGTGTATTATAAAGTTCTCATGCAGGTATCTCAGGGCTTTAAACAACTGCAGCATGATACACTTCACCTAAAACAAAAGTCCTTCATTGTCTCACTTGTCATATTTCATTTTGAGCCATAATGTAATCTGCAACATAGGCTATTGTCATTTTTTGATACTGGGTCATGAAAAACAAACAAATTCTATACTGTCATTTCAGCTAGGTCGTATAAAACATTTACAAACAAGAGGCCCATGGGCCACATCGCTCACCTGAGTAACTTTGGCCATGCTGTTCATTACCAGACTCCCCCCTTGTAATACCTATTGTGGCCCCACCCTCCCCCCAGGGGCCATGATTTGAACAATTTAGAATCTACACTACCCCAGGATGCTTCCACATAAGTTTCAGCTTTTCTGGTCCAGTGGTTCTTGAGAAGATTTTTAAAGATTTTTCCTATATATTTCAATGTAAAACTTGGGATTCCCCCTATTGTGGCCCCGCCCTATCCCCTGGGTCATGATT